CACACACACACCCAGGGTGTCCCCGCCCCTCCTGAGCCATGGAAATGGTGTGCCCTTCCTCATTCCTATCGTGTCAGCTTGGCATGGGCACCCTTTGTCACCTGACACAGTTTTCATGGCAGCTCCCTTTTTGACTCTCACTGAAAAGCAAAGTTTGTATCAGTGCCTTAATGGAAAACGAATAGCATGTAACATATAGGAAAGGAGTCATAAAAAAAAAAACCACAGCAGATAACTTTGTATTCAGATAACTAGACATGAGCATGTGTCTGTCCTATAAGGGGCGAGTGGTGGGTGTCGGAACAGTGCCATCACCCTTGCACCAAACGGAGGCACCACCCAAAGCGTCCTGGGTCAGGCCACCCTCCCTCGGCTCATGGTGGTCTGGAGCTCCGTCTGTCCCCTGTGGCCCCTTCCCTTCTGGTACACTCCTCGCTGGCTCCTGCTTCTCCCTTTGCCTCCCCACCTGCTCTGGGCTCTTCCTCCAAACCCCATCTGCCCAGTCTTGTGCATGGGGTCCCCCAGAGGTCAGCGGGACAGTGAGAACAGGCTGTCCCAGACACCCCTCCTGGGGAGGGACGTGTGCCCTCAGAGGTCTCCACAGGCTGGTGGTTACCACATGGGGCCAGGAAGCCCTGGAGACTCCCTGGAGGTGGTGATAGGCTGGTCTGGGTGGATGTGGCCTCTGGATTGTGGAGAGCCCCATCCAGGTTGAGAGCATGGGGCTGGGGCCTGTGGGCCCCTCTCCCCAACTCCGTGTGAATGTGGGATCCTGACTGAGTGAGAGAGGGAAGACGGCCCTTCAGCCAAGTTCTGGGGAGGAGGGGAGGTGTCTGCGGGCTGCTGAGTTGCCCTGACTCTCTGCTCTTTTCTCCAGGAGCAGCATCACCTTCAGTCCCTCCAGGACCGCGTGGAGCCTGGGCAGCATGGCATCCTCCAGCCAGAGGGTGGAGAAGCCAGTGTCCCCAGAACCCCAGGCGGAGCCCGGGCCGGAGCCTGGGCCGGGCCGCGAGCTTCAGTCCTGGCAGTGGCTGGTATTCTACCTCTGCTTCTACGGCTTCATGTCCCAGATGCGGCCCGGGGAGAGCTTCATCACCCCCTACCTCTTGAGCACTGCTAAGAACTTCACGAAGAAGCAGGTATGTGGACATGGGGATAGTGGGCAGGGGTGGCCCCTGGATGGGGAAGCAGCTGGGGCTGTTGAGGTTAGGCAGCCATGTGGTGTCCTGGGTCCTGTCCCCAGTCCCTGAGGGGCCCTGAGGGGCCTGACTCTCACTTATTAACCAGGCCAGTTAAAGAGTGACAGTGGCTGCAGAGGGGTCCGAGGCTGCCACGGGTCTCTGAGGGAGGAGTGCAAGGCGGGGAGAGGGAGCCCACCTGCTTGGCACCTGCTTCCAGCAGAGACTCAGCAGCTATTTGCCTAAGGAGATTACTGAAGGAATTTCCTTCACTCGCAAGGAGGACAAAGGGTCTTGTTGAAAGCTGACTAAGTAAGCTTATCCCAGAGGTGAGTGGTGAGGTAGGAGGAGGAGGCAGGACAGGCTCTAGCCCTAGTGCTTTCCTTCTCCAGCTTTTGCTATTTCCTTCTCCATAAAAGAAAACCAAGAAACTCAGAGGCTGTTGGTTGATGAGGCGCACACTCAGGATGCGCATTCGAGCTCTGGTCACCACCCTGCTCTCCACCTGAGGACCCCGGCACTGCCCCAGAGCTGGGCTCGGTCAGAGCTGGTCCTGATCAGAACTGGTTCCGGGCTGCTCACCTCCATTCCCCCCGCCTCCTCTGCCCTTCCCATGTGGCCATCAGCCTCCCCACCCCCTGTCACCACAGCCGGATCTCCCTGGGTCCCACTGTGCCCTTGATTTCTTCGGGAAGCCCCTGCCTTTCCCTGGCGTGGAGCTTGGCCCCTACCCCTTGCATACCTTCAAGTTGTTTAAGTCCAATGCAGTGTCTGTGCGGATGCGGCCTGTCCCCTCCAAGTCGCCATCTTGGAGATAAGGAAATGGCCACATACTGGCCCACACGAACTCAGAGTCTGTCACTGCGTCTGATCCCATGGCCGGTGCTGACTGCTGGAGCTGGTCACTTCCCAGGTGAGGCTGGGTAGGGGGCTGGGGCCTATGGGGTTGTCTCCAGTGCCCCCCAGACCCTCCTGGACTCCTGAGTAACCATCCCTCACTCACTGGGCAGCTGAGGGTTCTCCTTCCTTAGAACACTGATCAGATCTTAAAGAGGGGCCATCGTCTGCTGTGATTACAGGAATGATCATGTATACGGAGCTCTAGTAAGATAACAGGAAAAATGTCCACAGCAAAAAATGTGTAAGTCCCATTCGCCTGCCCTCTCTGGTTGCACATTAACTGATTATATAGTAGGTTCCAGAAATGAAGCCATTCCCCCAAGCTTGGGTGTCATCAGGGAGACGACAGGCTTGTGTCTGGGAAGTGCGCATGAGCCTGCCTGCCGGGCCTGGCTGGGGAGAGTTACCCACGTGGGTCAGAGACTGTCTTACAAAGGACACGCCCTAGGGCAGTGATGGCGAACCTATGACACACGTGTCAGAGGTGACATGCAAACTCATTTTTTTGGTTGATTTTTCTTTGTTAAATGGCATTTAAATATATAAAATAAATATCAAAAGTATAAATCCTTGTTTTACTATGGTTGCAAATATCAAAAAATTTCTATATGTGACACGGCACCAGAGTTAAGTTATGGTTTTTCAAAATGCTGACACGCCGAGCTCAAAAGGTTCGCCATCACTGCCCTCGGGGATTAAACCCGGTGTCTGCTCTCAGTGTGTCACCCCGAGGGACGACACTGCCGTATTCTGGACACCGACACTTGCTCCCTCTGCCCGAGGCCACAGCTTCCGGTTTCCCTCTTGCCCCTGTTGACCTTCTGCCCATCTGATAGCTACTGGATTTGTGTTTCCTTGATTTCTGCCTTGGCGTGTTTCCTGGCTGTTCCCATGCCAGGGCTGTGAGTAAACCAGTGGAGCGAGAGGGTCCAACCAGCCTCGCCGTGGGCCCCGCATGCTGATCAGGGCTCTACTCTGGCCCTTGGTTTCCCTCTGTCAAGTGAGGCCTTGGAGCCTGCTGGCCTCTCGGGGCTGAGGGCCACCTGTGCTGGTCTTAGCAGACAGTCACGCTCATGGTGTGGTTATGGTGGGGGCTACCGAAGGGCATTGGTGGCTACGGTAATGAGCTGCATGGGGTCACGAGCCTGCTGTCCCACAGGTCACCAATGAGATCACGCCGGTGCTGTCCTACTCCTACCTGGCCGTGCTGGTGCCCATGTTCCTGCTGACGGACTACCTGCGCTATAAGCCGGTGCTGCTTCTGCAGGGCCTGAGCTATATCGCTGTGTGGCTGCTGCTGCTGTTTGGCGTCTCCGTGCTGCACATGCAGTTCATGGAGTTCTTCTACAGCCTCACCATGGCCGCCCGCATAGCCTACTCCTCCTACATCTTCTCGCTCGTGCGCCCCGCCCAGTATCAGCGCATGGCCGGCTACTCCAGGTCCGCAGTGCTCCTGGGCGTCTTCACCAGCTCTGTGCTGGGCCAGCTGCTTGTCACTGTGGGCAAGTTCTCCTTCACCATGCTCAACTACATCTCCCTGGCCTTCCTCACCTTCAGCCTGATCCTCGCCATGTTCCTGAAGCGCCCCAAGCGCAGCCTCTTTTTCAACCGCAGTGAGCCTGCCCGTGGCGAGGCCTCGCCCTCGGAGCTGGACAAGATGCACCCTGGCCCTGGCCAGCCCGCGGGCAGGAAGCTCTGCGGGACTCCGCTGGCGGGCTGGAGGGACTGGATCCTCGTGCGCATGCTCCGGGAGTTAGGAGCCAGCCTGCGGCTGCCACAGCTGCGCCTCTGGTCCCTCTGGTGGGTCTTTAACTCGGCTGGCTACTATCTGATCGTCTTCTATGTGCACATCCTGTGGAACGACATCGACCCCACCAATGACACCACCAAGGTCTACAACGGTGGCGTGGATGCCGCCTCCACTCTGCTCGGTACGCCCAGCCAGCTCCGCCCGCCCTGCCCACCCTAGGAGGATGGCAGACAGTGACTGTCCTGTCTCCCCAGGCGCCATCACCGCCTTCGCCGCGGGCTTTGTGAAGATCCAGTGGGCCCTATGGGCGAAACTGATCATCGGAGGCGTGACAGCCGTGCAGGCCGGGCTGATCTTCCTCATGCACAAAACGGGCAGCATCTGGCTGTGCTACATGGCCTTCGTGCTCTTCCGTGGCTTCTACCAGTTCCTGGTGCCCATCGCCATGTGAGTTGGGCTGTGTGGGGTGGACGAGAGGCCGAGCAGCGTGAAGCAAACTTGGTGGTGGGAGGAGTGGTGAACCCTGGACACCTTTAGGCAGGGGCGCAATGTCCCCTTGTCCATAGCACACACATCCCAGCTGTCTGCCATGGCCCTGAGACTTAGCAAGGAGCCCACCCATGCAGCACATTCTCTGCTCCTCCCATCAAGGCCCCTTGGTGTCCACAGGGACTGGTCCTCATGAAGTTTTTCCTTCCAGCCTCCCTGCCCCATTTCCCAGGCCCCAGGAGCTGCTGTGGTCCCATCTTGGGTAGCCCTATGGCCTTCCTCACCCTCTCTGTTCCCACTGTGGGGAACAGCAGCTCCTGGCCAAGGAGTGACCAGGTGTCCCAGCTTACCTTCTGTCCACGACTCTCCTGGTGCCCTCATGTTCCTCACACCCCTGGGGACCCTCCTGCATCTGCCCAGGGACATCCTGAGACCTGCCCACCAGCTCCCCTGTACTTCCAGAACCTTCCCCTGCTCATGTTCTGCTTGCTCCTATGACCTTCTGTGTTCCTGTGAACTGACCTTTCACAAAGCCACTTATTCACACCCAGTGCTCATACCACATGTGCTCACACCACATGTGCTCATACCACACAGGCACACACTACATGTGCTCACACCACACGTGCTCACACTGCACGTGCTCACACCACACAGGCACACACTACATGTGCTCACACCACACGTGCTCACACCACATGTGCTCATACCACACAGGCACACACTACATGTGCTCACACCACACGTGCTCACACTACATGTGCTCACACCACATAGGTACACAGAAGCCTGCCTCCCTGCGCCTCCTGCACCTGGTGTGTGTGTCTGTCACCATAGTCCCCCTCCAACCCCCAAAGTGGGCCACCTTCTATCCTCCTCCTACTCACACCCATGTTAGAAGATCTTTCCCACCTCGTCTTCAGCTCAGACAGTATCCTCAGTCTCCTGACCCACTGCAGTTCCCACCTCCATGGAGTGGTGGCCTGACTACCCTGTGCCGTCTCACAGAAGCGCCCGGCACACACTGCCCTGTCCACTTTCGGCCTGCACCTGCCCTGGGCTCAGAGCCTGGGTCAAACCTAGTGTCCTTCCTGTCCTCCTGAGGGCCAAGTTGCCAGACACCCTGACGACACTCCTGGCAGAAGACACCTTTCCATTTAGCTGGCCAAAATGCAGGTGTAATTGGTCCTCTTGGTGGCAAGTGGCATGCCACATAGCTAATCCCCAACTGATGGGGATGCCGCCTTCAGTATTTTGCTATGACAGGCAACAGTGAGATCACTATCCTCTCAACCTGCATTTTCCTTTCCAAATTCTGATGATGGTCTCAGGTGTTCCTAGAAAGGAAGTGGTCGGGTGAAAGGGCATGAGCTTTGGTGGATAGGGGGTGTTGGTAGATACGGCAGAAGCCTGCCGGCCAAGCGAGCTACCCTGTGGCCTGAGGGCCAGCTTGCCTTTTCTTAGTGCAGCAGGGCTGGCTCCTGCCTGGTGTTAGTGGACGCTTCACATTGGTGGGCTCTCTTCCTGCTGGGATTTCCTGTTTTCCCTCTTTATCTGTAGCACACTTACATCTACCGTATGTGGTAGGTGTGTTATGCTCTGCCTCTCATCTACTTACAGAGTAGGTGTGCCATGTGAAACACTCCTGCAGAGGGTGTGGCGTGTGGGTAGCATGGCATCATTCGCGGTGCTGGCGGGACCTGACCCAGCTCCGGTGTCCTAGGAGTTAATCTGTCCTCTCAGACCTTTGATTGACAAGGCCTTTTCTCAGTTTGTGTGCAGTCTTTGTCATGTGATTGCTCATTCTTCAAAATATATTTTATTGATTTTTTTACAGAGCGGAAGGGAGAGGGATAGAGTTAGAAACATCGATGAGAGAGAAACATCGACCAGCTGCCTCCTGCACACCTCCTACTGGGGAAGTACCTGCAACCAAGGTACATGCCCTTGACTGGAATCGAACCTGGGACCCTTCAGTCCCCAGGCCGACGCTCCATCCACTGAGCCAAACCGGTCAGGGCCATTCTTCAGAACTTTAGAATATTTCTTTTTTTTTTTTTAATTGACATTAGAGAGTAAGGGAAAGGGAGAGAGAGAGAGAAACATCAGTGATGATAGAGAATCATTGATCAGCTGCCTCTTGCAAACCCCCCACTAGCAATTAAGCTCACAACCTAGATATGTGCCCTTGACTGGAATCAAATCATGACCTCCTGGTTATAGCTGGACACTCAACCACTGAGCCATGCCGGCTGGGTGAGAACTTTAGACTATTTCTTGTTTAGTCATTATTTTTAAAGGCACTTTGGGAATTTTAATTGGAAGTACGTTCAAATGTTAATTTCTTTGCAGAGGATTGGGAGCTCTGAGAATATTAATTCCTTCTTCTCTCCTATTTGTTTAACTGTTCTTTCTCTAACTTATTGAATCATTGAATGACTTTAAAATCATTAAAGACTCTACTATCATTAAGGACTTTAATTCTAGAACTTTTCTCATGATGCTCTGCCTGTTCTCCTGGGGATGATTTTCTGAGAATGCTGCAATGAATGAGTTACTCCATGCCAGGGTTACTAGGAGACTTTTTAAATGTCTTCCCCGAGTTTGCATGTGGCACTATTTTGCATTCACTTTATGAGTCATTGAGGGAGGATGAAGTGGGTAGGCTGGGTGCTGGGCTGGGCTTGCTGGTCTCCAGTGGCCTTAGCAGGCATGGCCAGTCATCAGACCACATAGCTGTTTCTGGCAGCCAGTGGCAGCCTAGACGTCACCTTTGTACTTGTGGGCACTTCTTGGGCCTCCCAGCCGAGGCTGACCTTGGCCTGCTTTCCCTTTAAGTTTTCAGATCGCGTCTTCTCTTTCTAAGGAGCTCTGTGCCCTGGTCTTCGGAATCAACACGTTCCTTGCCATTGTTCTCAAGACCATCATCACCCTCATCGTTTCCGACAAGCGGGGCCTGGGCCTCCACGTCCGATCCCAGGTCAGCCCCTGCGTTGGGTTTGCTTCCTTGGGGAGAGAGGACTCGGGGTGGGAGGTGACGGGGGGTGGGTGTCTGGGCCAGGGTCTCCTGGTGTTCACCCAACCAGCAGCATTGTCCCCTCCCTGGGCCCCAGACCACAGATCTACTGAGGGCAGGGGGCATGCACAGGGCGGGCCGGGGTCTCCAGCTAGATACACGGGACTTACTGAGTCAGAGCAGGAGCGTGAAGTGAGAGGCCCCAAGCAAGGAGGGAAGAAGGATCAGAGGACTGGCGCCAGGGAGCCATGGTCTGGCAACCGCTGTGCCGGCCTGTCCTGCTGCCTCCTGGGGCCCAGGGTGGAGCTGAAACGCCGCTGACTCCACTGGGAACATGAGGCCTCTTAGTTGAGTCTGGATGCAGGTCATTTCTGGAGGTCTTCCTGGCCCTGGGCATCCCCCATGATGGCTGAGGGGCTCCTCACAGGAAGGGCAGAGGTGTGCCAGGAATGAGTGGTGGGAGGGGCTGTCTGGAGGGCGTGAGCCCTGTGCCCAGGGATGGGCGGGTTGAGGTCTCTGGTGCAGCATCACTACCAGATTAATGACCTCTTAGGGTCAAGAAACAGAAGCTTCCCTCCCCTCGGGTCCCTCAGGCTGCTCTTTCACGTCCACACCACCTGACTCCCACCTGACTCCTCCCTCTTCCCCAACCGTGAGACCACATCTGTACCCACGGTTCTGCTCATTGCGTTCTTTTCCTTCCTGTTGTGTCAAGTTCTGTCTCGGTCGTCCCCCTTCCAGTCCAGAGAACCTCCTTTAGCCATTATTTTCACTCCTGAAGGCTTCGGGGCTGACAGTTTTTTCCAGCAGGTGAAAGCTCTGCCACTTCCTTGTGGCCTTCGTAGTTTATGATGAAAAATTCTGCCATTCTAATTGTTCTTCCCTAAGGTGTCATTTTTTTAAGTGGCTGCTTTCAAGATTCTTTTCTTTGTCTTTCGCTTTCAGAAGGTTGAACATGGGGTGGGGTGTCCTTGCCACCGTGGACGGGTGGGGGTGAAAGTCCTGAGTCCGCAGGGATGGAGTTGGGCGTCGGCACTCCCGGTGGGTGGGAGTGAAAGTCCAGACTTTCCATGTGAGCTCTGTGGGGTGAAGATTGCAACACCCACGGGGACTTGAGCAACACCCCCACATGGGCAGGGGCCTCCTGATAGCCCGGGTGATGAGGGTGGTTCTAGCCGGAGCAGGGCTGTTCGTCTGTCACCTCCTGTCCTGCTGGGTGTCCGTCTCCTGGTCCTCTGGTAGAGAGAGCAGCTTTGTTGGGGCTTTTTTTCTACACATGTTGCCATTTCTGGGCTGCTGGCATCTTTAGTTTCAAAATACCTGTAGCAAAAAAGGAAATAAAGCCCGAGACCCATCACACGTCACCATGCTGTGCCTCGGGCTCGGGTCCCAGCTGGGCTGCCCCCCACCCTCCCGCCTGCAGTCACTCTCTGATGTGTGCTCTGTGTGGCTTCCAGGCTTCAGTCATACTGGGGAAGAATTCGGGAACCATGTGACTCCATCTTCCTGGGAGCAAAGTCCTCCACGGGTCCCTTCCTGCTTTACTTTCTGAATGAGCAGGTTTCCTAGAAGGGCTGAGGGTGCCTGTGTCACGAGGGGCTCAGGGAGGGACTTGAGCCTGGCCCGGCCCACAGTCGCCTCGAGACCATCCGGACCTCCAGTCCCCCGGGTGTTCATGAGAATCAGGAGGGACATTTTTGTGGGCTGGGTGTGCATCTCTTGGTGTCACTACTGGTCAGTTTTGCCCGTCACCAGGGCGGCCACTGGCTCACTGTGTGGGGCTGTCTGTCCTTGACCGGCTTTACCACACGCACGGATGTCCGCGAGCCCTCAGCAGTGTGGGAACTCTGCCCATGGAGCGAAGTGCGCACGTGTGGTCACACAAAATAAGCGAAGCACTGGGGGTAGATCACAGAGGCCACACAGAGACAGCAAAGGTGCGGGGGTTCTGAGAGAAAGTGGGCTGTGCCGTGTGGTGGCAGGAGCGTGGAGGGCAGGCCTTGTGCACTGTGGGGCCTGCTCCTGGGCTGGCCTCTCACCCCTAGTGCCCACCTCACCCTTGCAGTGTTCCCGTGGCCTCTGAGCAGGAGAGAAAGAGAGGGAGGAATATACATCCATGTGGGCTGCCTCCCGACTGTCCCTCCCTTGTCCCCCTCCCCTCCCCTCTCCAAAGCCCCCTCATCTCCCAGGCCGCCCCTTATTCCCCACCCACACTTGCACCTTTCTCTGTTCCAGTTCCTCGTCTACTTTGGGTACTTCGTGGTGCTGTCCATTGCCTACTTCTTGGGAGCTGTGCTGGGGACCCTGTGGCACTTCCCGAGGAGCCACCACCAGCCCCTGCCCCTGGCCCAGGAGCTAAGGAGCCCCTCGGAGGAGAAAGCTGCTCAGGTGCTGAGCCTGCAGGATGGGGTCCTCAGCAACCTGCAGCCTGAAGCCACAACCCTGGCCCCGGAGGACGGTGCATGGACCGCAGGACCAGTCCTGAGGGACCAGCGTGAAGCCAAGGCATGACCTGCTCTCTCTGCCCAGCTCAGTGAGTGGCCAAATTCTGACACCAGAGGCAATCTGCTCTGCATCCTCCAACATCCTCACTGAGCCAGGTGCCCTGACATCTCAGAACTGCCCCAACCCTGACAGGGTGCCGGTCCCTGTGGCCTGGCGCCCTGGCATCTCAGAACGGTCCACCCCTGGCTGGGTGCCGGTCCTCGGAATCAGGAAGCTGGGTTTTTGGCAATGTTTGAATTCTACTGTTCACATTATGGTACCAATGACCAATGGGGCCCCTATGACACACACCTCGAGGGCCACCTGCCTCGGCCAGTGGTGCCTTGGCTTGTCCTGTGGTGTCCCCAAGCCCTGCACCTCTCAGGCCTCACATCCTGACTACGCTCTGTAGCCTGCTGGGGACACAGGCAGCTGCCGGGCACTGTGGGTTGGGTTGTGTCCCCTGCCTACACATGGCCAGTGGTGGGGTTCCACATGCCCACCAGGCCTCCCTGCCTTCACTCCCCTTGGGAGGCAGATCCCATTGGTCCCTGGGGACTGGGGAGATGGCCCCATGTGCTAGCCCGAGTGACACCAGCCCCTGCAGGCTGTCGTGGGCCCTGTAGGGTGGTGGTGGGGGCCTGGGTTCCCAGGGCTCGTGGCTAAACTGACATTTCTAGTTGCCCTGGTACTCATGTTTTAAACAATGCTGTGCTCCTATTTTTTTAACTGTCATGAATGTGAACCCTACTGGTCCTCTGTTTCTGTGGGAGAAGCTGGTACTGGGGCAGGTAGGCGTTTCCCCACTGGATGAAATGGGGGTGCTGCAGTCTTTGGGAGCTGGCTCCTTCTGGGCCCTGGGCCCTGGGCCCTGTCGTCCTTCCCCTTCCTGATGTGGGTTAACACTGGCCCGCCTCACTGGTGATGGAGGCCACCTGGGCTGCTCACACACCAGCCCGGAGGACATGCCTCCTGGGGCTCTAGGAACCAGTCATGTGGTAATGTAAGACTTGAAACATTAAATAAACCACATGACCCGAGTGTGAGGGGCTCCTGATTCCAAACTGGTGGTGTGTGTATGTGTGTTGGGGGGGGTGGGGGGTGCTGGGGTCTAGTGGGAGGCCAAGAAAGGGGACCAGCAAAGGAAGGGACCCAACCTGGGCCCACCATGTCCTTGATGCCGCTCCTCCCATGACCCTCTGTCCTCATGCCAAGTGGGGCAGCTGAGCAGCAGCCCAACAGGTAGGGTCCGGTGGAAAGGCCGCAGCTTGGAGCCAGCTTGGCAAGGAGGGTCAGAAACAATTCCTGGCCTAGGAGGGGCTGCTGGAGCTGGCTGAATGGGGCACCTCGGGGCACCATGAGAGTCGTGGAGCGTGTACACAGGGGTTGGCCCAAGTCATGGCCAATGGTGTGGGTCAGACTGATGGATTGGTCCCTGGGCGTGTCCACAGAGGCCACTGCTGCCCCTCTGACCCCGCTGGGAAGGGGCAGCACTGAGCCCAGGGCCCAGCACCATTTCCCATTTGTGCTTAGAGATCAAGCAAGACTTCATGGATTGGTTGCGGGGTTGGGGGGATCTCTTCTGGTCACTAACCCCACAATCAGAGCTCTGTGCCTTTGCACTGGGATACCTACCCCCCCCCTGCCCCCCAGCAAGAACACCATCAGCAGCTGGCTCAGCTGCTCCCTCTGAGCCCCTCCATGTGCACTGCGCTGCTTAAACCTAGAACCACCTCCAGGCTCCCAGAACCGCCTTTCTCTGCTGCTCCCAAGCACCTTGGCCACCAGGGCAGGGATGGCATCTGTTCCCAGGGCACAGTGAGGCCTTCTCTGTGTAGTGTGCACAGCCCCTTGGGGTCAGACACCTCCCAGAGCCTGGCCAGCTGCAGCACCTGTGGGGAGAGTCCAGGGCAGGCCACCTGCATGGGCCTGGGAAGCCTGCTGCCCCAGGGAGACCTGAGAAAGGTCGTCCACATACACCTGATGCATCTGTATACACCTGGGGATGTCCATGCATACCCATGCACAGCCGTGTGCATCTGCATATTGCACACCTGGGCTCCCTCATGGGCCACCCACTTGGGGGTGTGGGGATTTAGGCCCCAGAGAACTGGTCTCAGGACAGTGCCGGCCACATGCAAACCAGTGTCCATGTACATAGATTCTTTTATTTGGAACCACACCTCACAGTCACCAGGACCAGCTCCTCTGGTTTATGGCTGCAGTGCATGGACAGACCTCGAGGGGTTGGGCTCTGGCCTGCCATCCCTCCCAGCATGGCCACCAATGGGGACACCTACCAGCTCTCCCAGAGACACACATGCACCTCAGAATGTCTCCCGAAGTTCTCCAACAAGGACAATGATGTGGGTTTTGAGATGCACTGTTGTGGATGGTGGCGAACAGGGCAAAACACATGGCCTCATTCACTCATGCACATGGAGCTAGTTTGTGGACATGGTCCAGTCCGGTCCTGCCCCTGCTGCAGTCCCTCCACACTGCCTCCATCCAGTGCTCAGCAGGAGGCAGTCTGGCCAGGGACTCGAGGAGTCCTAGCAGGTGCTCCCAGGCAGAGCTTGGCCTGCATGGGTGTTGGGAACTCTGAGCCTGGAAAATGGGGACTGGGCCCGGCCAGTGTGGCTCAGCTGTTGAGCATCGACCTATGAACCGGGATGTCACGTTTTGAGTCCCAGTCAGGGCACATGTTCAGCTTGTGGGCTTGATGCCCAGTGTGGGCTGTGCAGGAGGCAGCTAATCAATGATTCTCGTCATTAATGTTTCTATCACTCCCTCTCCCTTCCACTCTGAAATCAATTAAAGTACACACACACACACACACACACACACTAGAGGCCCAGTGCACACATTTGTACAGTGGGGTCCCGCAGCCTGGCCTGCACCCTCTCGCAATCTGGGACCCCTCAGGGGATGTTGGACTGTGGTTTTGGCCTGGTCCCCACAGGCCAGGCCGAGGGACCCCATTAGTGTACAAATTCGTGCACTGGGCCTCTAGTATGCATATAAGATCTTTGGTTAATCTCTTCTCGTTCTTCCCCCTCCCCCGAGATTCATCAGTGTGTTCCATGTTTCCATGCCTGCACAATGAGCGTCTGCCCCCTGGTGGTCAGTGCGCGTCATAGCTACTGGTCGAATGGTCGGTCGGTTGCTTAGGCTTTTATATAGATACTAGAGGCCCAGTGCATGGGATTCATGCACTGGTGGGGGGACGTGGCCTGCGGGGATCAGCCTGCTGTGGGAGCGCTGCTCATCCTGGTCAACGAGCAGCACCCCCACTGTGGGAGTGCACTGACCACCAGGGGGCAGCTCCTGTGTTGAGCATCTGCCCCCTGGTGGTCAGTGTGTATCATAGTGACTGGCCGACTGGTCATTCTGCCGTTTGGTTGCTGGGCTTTTATTATTCATGAGGATATATATTTTATTTTATTATTTTTAAAAAAATACATTTTATTGATTTTTTTACAGAGGAAGGGAGAGGGAGAGAGAGTTAGAAACATCGATGAGAGAGAAACATCGATCAGCTGCCTCCTGCACACCCCCTACTGGGGATGTGCCCACAACCAAGGTACGTGCCCTTGAATGGAATCGAACCTGGGACCCTTCAGTCCGCAGGCCGACGCTCTGTCCACTGAGCCAAACCAGTTAGGGCAGATATATATGTATTTTAAAGGGTTACTGGATGTGGGGTTGGGGCCAGGAACAGGATGCTACCATGTCTGGACCCCTAAAAACACACAGCACAGCTATGGCTGGGGCTAGCTCTGCACTGTTTTCGACCTCACAGGTCAACTGGGAAGCCAGCATGGGACAGAGACCCCACAGGACAGGACTGACTCCAGGGGATGCATAGGCCACTAGCACATACAGCATGGGGGGAGGAGGTAATGCTAGCCCCCCCCCCCCACCCCCGTCTGGAGCCAGGGTCAGCAGTGGGGCGCTGAGCTGGGCACTGAGCTTGGAAACTGCCCCAGTGGAAGGGGGTATTGCTGCAAGAGGCCGAGGAGAGGCGGTCCCCCTTAGACCCAAGGCCTGAGTCGTCTGGACCGCTGACCGCCTGGGGAGGGAGGGCCCTCTTTACTGCTGCCACAGCCCCTGGGCCAGATAGAGAAGGGAAGAGGGAGGCTGTGGCTGGTCTGCAAGTGGGTCTGAGTTTTGTACAGAGAAGGGGTTCCAGGCAGAAAACCGAGTCAGCCCCTGCCTGGGGCAACCCTCTGGGGACCTGGGGTGCACATACCGCCCCAGGGGAGTGCGTGCCGGAGGCCACAGAGAACACAGCCAGGGTGGAGCATTATCCCAACAGGTTGAGATCCTGCTTCCTGGCAATTGTAGACAAGCGCAAATAAAGTCACAAAAATTAGAGAGAGAGAGAGAGAGAGAGAGAGAGAGAGAGAGAGAGAGAGAGAGAAAACAGGGCTAGGTGCGCCCCCTGGTGTCTAATCTGAGGACAGCGCCCTGCATGACCAGGCCAGCTGGGGCTTGGAAGCGGGCAGGGCAGGGCAGGAGAAAGAGTTGGCACCAAGCTTTCTGTTTTAAACTTTTTAAAAAATACACTCTTTGGCTTTCTTTTATTTCTGGAGGATTACATGAAATGTGAACCACACAGGAAAGTGTCCCAGCCAGGTCCCCTGTCTGGAGTGCTGGCTGCCGCTCCCTGCCCGGCACTGGGGGTCTCTCCACTTGCCCTGCCGCCTGGCCTCCTCTCTGGCCGTCGGTCCATACACCACGTGAGCTGGCAGAAGCCCTACTTGGAGGAGGTCATGAAGCTGTTCTCAATGCAGAGGACGATGAAGGCGTTGTGGCAGCTCGCGGCTTTCTGTTCCAACAGCCTGCCCGTCAGCATGGAGGAGGCCTGGCCCGTGGCTGTTGCGGCCTCAGTCCGCCACGTCTCACAGTAGCTCTCGGTCAGCCGGCGCCCGCTGGGGTCTGAGCCGTGCCACACACTCTTCTGTGGCCTGCAGGACACAGGGGCTGTCAGTCTCCCCTGGGCCCTGCTCCTCCTGGGACAGAGGCCACCCTCAGGCAGAAAAGGGCAGAGGCTGCAGGCGGAGGTGGTAGCAGGGACTCGGGCCAATCCTAGCCACCGGGGACGGTGCACCCCGTGCTGCCACTGCTTTTGGGGGCACAGCATGGGGAGCAGGCTCTGTGACCCTGATGACTGGTCCCTTGGGGCTGGGTGCTCCTCCGTGAGGGCGGGACACATACTTGTCTGACACACGAGCCACCTGGGAAGAGCATGCCCGGGGGGGACAGGTGCCCTCACACCAAGCCGGCAGAGGGACGAGGGGTGTGAGAGCAATCTGACAGCTTCCACCAGTGTTTGAAGTACACATATCCTCCAACTGGGAAATTCCATTTGGGGGAGTTTACAGGAGCAATCACTCTCTGTGATGCCTGCGTGACAGACAGTGAGAGCTGGGTGGTCCTGGCAGGCCCCTGGGGCACCCACCATTGGCCAGTCTCCCGACAGCAATGGAGCAGGCTGGTGAGGGTGTTCGTACAACACACGGAGAATGCTTTGTATCATTCATGCTCTTCTGGATCTTGTGAGTTTTAAACAGTGAGCATGTATTAGGTAGAGGGTCAGGCGAGACAGGGAGGTGCAGCGTCAGGGGCCTGCACTAGGGCCGGTAAGATCCAGAGCTCCTCCCCACCCTCCAGCTACTGCACTCACGCGGGGGCACCTACCAGGCGGGGTGCTGCAGCACGTCTCTGCCGTCAAAGGAGAAGATGCGGGCCCCTGGCTTCAGCTGGCCCTGGGAGCCCGAGAACAAGGCCTCCCAGTTGGGAAACAGCTCCTCGTCCTGCGGAGGGAAGTGGGCGGTTTACCCATCTCTGGCCACCCCCCGACAGAGGACCATTGGCTGGGCACCTTAGCAGACCAGGCACCTCCTCCGGCCTGGACCCCGGGTCTGGGACGAGTCCACCGCCCATGGTCCTCACACATTAGGAGCATCCGGCAAGCACAGTGGTGGTGAAGAGCCATAAAATAAAGCCACGGGAAGGGCACTGTGGTGCAGGGGCCTTGCTGGGTTCTCAGGGGTGTGACCAGTCCAGTGCCCTGCCCCCTGATTCCCAGGTCCCTCACCCCAGCTCTGGGAGCCCCACACTCAGGGCAGTGCACCCACCCTGAGGTTGACGATGGGCACGGTGGCACGGTCGGCACGACGCACAATGCTGTAGAGGTCCTGCAGGCGCGACGACAGGAAGGCACGGAAGGTGCCCGCCAGCCCGGCCGCACGCGCCTGCTGAAAGCACTGGAGGTCGGCGCCACGGATGCCACGCAGGCCGCCAGGCTGTGGCCCGTTGAGTGCGACCAGGTGCAGCTGCAGGAGAGTGGCAGTCAGCTGCAGTCAGCCGCCGGTGACATCAGGTACAGTTCTGGGCGCCCCCTCCCCGCCTGCCCTCCCTCCGCCCCGGCCCTGCATAGACAGTAGGGTTGAGTCTCAGCACAGACAGGGCTTGGGAGAGCTGAGTGCACCCACTGGGGCCCTGGAGAACCAGCCTGGGGCCCTTCAGCCCAGGGCAGCAGAGGTGTGGGCGCCCAGAAAGCAACGCCCAGCCTGGGAGCGGGCGGTGGTCAGCTTGAAGCGGCCACCTCCTCCATCTACCTCCTAAGCAAGTCCCTGATCTCAGGCCTCACCAGCCACCTCTGTGAAAAAGGATCTGCGGGGTCCCCAGTGCCGTCATAGGCACCAGCCCAGCCTCTCTGGGACCTAAGCAGAGACTGGCCTCGGAGGCAGGTGTCAGAGGGCACGTGCCCCCAGGGTCACTCACCACCGGCTGGAAGTCATGGTGGGTGTGGGCGGGAGCGCCAGTGGGGTGGGCTGGCCGGGAGTGCACGTAGGAGCCGTGATGCGGGACTCCAGGGTAGGGCTGGGGGTCCAGCAGGCGTGGGGGCCTGACCAGGATGTCATCTGCCCGCCAGGGTCGTGAGGTGGAGGGGGGCAGTTCCCACCGGGGGTGCGGGTTTCCCTCGTGCAGCTGCACCAGCGGGGGCTGCAAGGCGGCCACTTCGTTGTCCTGCAGATCGAGGAGTGGACAGTATGTGAAACGGGGGCTCCGACACCTGTCAGCGCCACAGGGAGGCCCCCTGGTGCCCTTCAGGCTCTGCTCTCCTGCCTGGGCCTAGGTTCCTGGCTACCCGTCCCAGAGCACCCTGCTCCTCTTCACCCCAGCTTGTGCTCTTGGTGGGGGAGCCTGGCCATCTTGTTTATGCCTAAATCAAGTGGATGTCCTCTGCTCACACACCCCTGGCTCCTGCGCACCCCAGCCATCTCCTTGCTGTGGCCTGGGGGCCCTCAGGCGATCACGTCCCATGACCTCGAGGCCGCCTCCTCGCTGTAGCTCAGATACCCCGTTATGACACGGCGGGCCCCTGGTCTCAGTTCCTCAAGCCTGTGCTCCATTCCCACCACAGACAAGGTGACCTCCACCTTCAAATCCCAACTCCTATGCCCCCACCCACTTCTCCATTATTTATTCCCACAGTGCCGAAAGCCTTAGGACACACCCTGTAATTTATTACTGTTACCTATATGCCTATTATTAGGTACTTAGTACCTGTGGATAGTTTCTATTTATAGTTCATACAATTAACATATATTTACATAAAAGATTTGTATTTGTATAACTATGCTTCATATCATGCTTCATATATTGACAAACCTATTCTCTTTACTGCCTGTCTCCCCCATATAATGTCAGCTGCAGGGGGCAGTGGCTTTGTCCGTTTCCTGCCCAGCTGTACCTCATGCCTAGAACAGTGCCCAGCGTATGGGAGGGGCCCAGGACTATGTACTGAATGAATGAATGAATGAATGAATGAGAGAATGGACTCGCAGGTCCTCGGGCTGGGCCATATGAGAAGTCATGCTTTTTCAAAGGAGCCTACAGCTGTGAGATGTGAACTCAAGTACTCACTTCAGCCCATTCATCCCCCATCTCCATCTCCTTTGTTCCCCCTCTGTCCACCCTCCGTCCACCCTAGAAGGGTCTGTCCCTGTGCTCTGCACTCTGGATAGACAGCAAAGACTCAACGGAGCAGTGGATTCTGGCCCCAGGAGCCCGGGGAAGACGATGGGCCCCCCATCTCCTCAGCAGGGGAGGCCCCAGGATGCTAAAGCACTAAGTGTTGTTCCAGAAATGGGAGGCAGTGTGCAGACCACCACTGCATGCCCCACACGCCCTGGCCATCCACCGGGCTCAAAGATTTGCACCCCAAAACTGACAGCTGGGAAAGAACAGGGCTCCTTACCGTCCCACGCGGGAGTGGCGTCCGGGCCTCCAGCTGGAAGAAAACACGGGGGTTACTTCAATGACCTGATTCACCAGCACCCACAGTGGGCAACCCTCCTGAATCCACATGCCCAGCCCGGGCCTCCCTCCCCTGGAAGCCAGCACAGCTGCATCCGGGGCCTGCCTGGTGCCGGGCAGACCACACATTTTCAAAAGGATGAGGGCTACTTCTCTGTACGCCTGTAACTCCTCAAGAAATTCTACTAATTTAAAAAAAGTAGCATGAGGAGCGCTGGCTGTCACTCGTCCCTGCGGGGTGTCGCCATAATAGGATGGTCCTGAGGGTCCTGACCGTGGCGGAGGGGGCTTGTGGGCGCGGGCAGTGGCCCGGATCCCTGTGCCCCTTCCCATAGGCCTGGGCCTTCCTCCTCCATGCAGCGCTCCCCACCTTCTCCCATGTCCAGGGTGTCGCCATAATAGGATGGTGCTGAGGGTCCTGACCGTGGCGAAGGGGGCTTGCTGTGGGCGCGGGCAGTGGCCCGGATCCCTGTGCCCCTTCCCATAGGCCTGGGCCTTCCTCCTCCATGCAGCGCTCCCCACCTTCTCCCATGTCCGACCCCCACGAGTGAGGACAGGAGGTGCAGGAAAAGGCCACCCAGAGAACTCACCAGGACCTTCCGGATCCCATTTCGGACGCGGACGTACAGCTCCTCCCGGTCAGCCACGAAGATGAGCCAGCCCTCGGGCACCTCGGGCACCTTGTCCAGCATGGTCTGGTACGTGGGCCAGATCCTCACCTGCTGGAGGCCCGGCCCAATGGGGCCCCACTGTGCTCAGAGGCGGCACTGGGCTCACCGGGCGGGGGGTGGGGCCAGGGACGGCAGATGGTCCCGACAGGTGTGGAGCTCAGGGGACCGAATTTGGACATTTCCAGGTGATGGGGTGGGGACATGGACAC